GTTCCTTTCCATTATTTACACAAGATTTGGTATTATTGTAGAAATTAAAAATGACATTCAAAATTTTACCTTTAATATTGCTTTTAAGCAACTTTTGCCATATCCCAATTCACCACACAGTACCAAAGGCCTTCTTAAAATCAATAACAGCACAGTACAGTTTCTTTATAGATGAAAAATATAGTTCAATTAACGATTGAATTATAAAAATGTTTTCACATGTTGAGTATACCTTTAGAAACCCCGCTTGGTTCCCATGTATAAGATTTATTTCATTAGATAGTTGGTTCAACCTTTCATTTCGTATCGATGTGAAAAGTTTACCGAGACAAGTGATGAGAGTAATTCCCCTATAATTATCGAGATCATTTACATCCCCTTCAATTTTTTAAATTGGTTTAATTAACCCAATAGTCCAGGATTCTGGGATTATATACATGTGTCGGGAGTTATGTTAAAACACAAAGTTTAACATACATGTATATAGGTAAACAACAGCCAATAGTAGTTTTCAAATATTCATTGAGAATCCCGTCCATTCCACACGCTTATTAGTTATAGTGTTTATGACATAATCTTAAACGGTAAAATTACTGAAATAGACATAAAAAGACGGCAAATTATTTTACCGTTTAATTGTACCGTTAAACATGGTGTCATTAATACTATCTTCTATAACTGGTAGCTCAAAGTTTTCAACTTCGTTTTCGTCTGTGTTAAGATTTTAAAGGTAATTAAATGGTTCATTCAATGGCTTATTCAAAGTATTATTTTAGTTTTTCCCATCAATTCTATTTTAAATGGTTCAGAATTTTTTAGTATCGGTCCTAGCAGTATTTCTTATTTTCCCTTCTTATAATTCCTGGTATTTATGGTAACACGTTTTCATCGTTTTTTCTATATTCTTTACCTTTTTTTGTTCATACCATCTTATAGGTAAGCTTCGCGTTGTTCAATTCTCGCCGTTTCCGCGGGCATTCTTTTGATCAATGTACTTCATATTTACCTGTTTTTTTTCGTACCAAACACTGATTTACATGTATGCCGAAATATGTTCTCAATTTTACTTACGACTTCATCTAACTCTCCCTGATCAGTAATGTTATCTAGGTTTAGCTGTAACCTAGTTGATCTGTATCGTTTTTTGAATGAACTTTACAAAAATTTCTTTCAGATTAGATTTCCATTTCCCACCCCGTTCCTGCATATTATCATACTTTCTTGTCTGTTTTAAATTGTTTTGTGTGTTATAGCCACATTCAAATTCAACACGGCAGTGTACATCAGACAATACAGTATCAAAATCAAATGCTTATTTTATAATATTGAATAAGTCCGCAGATAAAATCTATATTTTACCAATATATTTATCCTGTCCTATCTTCCCATTAGCGATATACAAATTCATGCTTTTACACAGTTCAATTAATTTAAACCCAAAGTTATTTGGTTTGGACTTACTAAACCGATCTACCGGTACTTGATGCATGTATATACAAGTAAGCGTTAAGGTTTTCGATCAAACTATGTGCTGGGACACTATAGTCAGGGTGTGTTTAGTTTTAGCGTTAACATCCCCCAGTAGTGCAATGAGAGTATTTCTTTCCGACGTTAGAATAACATCATTCTCAATTTCAGTAAGCACATCATTATTTACATATTTTGAATTTTCATCCATTGGACATATTCAACTTCAGTAGAGCGAAATTTAAAATAGCCTTTCAATTTTTCTTTGTAAATAATTACAATACCACCAGATTTTTTTTACATGATGAGCTATAGCTATATATGTTTTGCATGAAATTAATATTCATTAGTTAAGTACTTTCAAGTATAATAAGTCTATTATCGTTAGATTTGATCAACTCTACATATTCAGGTATAATAAGTTTAGACTTCAACCACAGTCATTTTGAGTCCTTCTGGCCGACCTCTTGTGGCGTATGTTCCTGCGTGTCTGGTTGATCTTACGGGGGATACTACCAAACTCCATAAAGACTGTGTCCTGATCTGACAAACCTGGGATTACTTCCAGGCGTTGGACCTGATTTGGAAAGTTTGTCATGAGTAAGTCATGTGTGTTGTTTTTCCCAGTTGGTTTCTGTACTAGTTGAGTTAGCCCAAAGTCATCTAACAAATTTCCAAAACCGTAATGTATCTTATGGTGAATAGTATTGGGTTTTAAAGATTTGGTCTCCCAGTCCCAACCAAGGAGGTTAAAGTCACCCCAACTATAAGAGTGGCATTGCTGATTTGTGAGACACGCCCACGGGATGTTTTCAGTCACTGTTGGCTCTCTTCCTTAGAAGTTTTGGGATTGTAGTAAGAACAAATGTGTAAGGTCTTATTACCAATGATTTCTATGTTGGCCCATATCAATTCGCAATTATCGGATGGTAATAGTTCCTCTACGTCATCGCTGATGTAGTCTGTTTTTATTGCGATTAGAACGCCTCCTCCTTCTGTATCAACCTCTGTTATCTTTCTATCATTTCTAAATAGCTTATAATTTGATGGGGACATTTCTGAGTCTTTTATATAAGGATTGAGTCATGTCTCTGTGCCTATGACTATATCAGGTTTTGTGCTATCTAGGACATTTAGTAACAGATGTTGTTTGTTTTTCATTGATTGAAAGTTAACATTTAGGATCCTTAGTGGGGTGCTTTGTTTTTTACCTGGACTTTTAGATTCCTGGGCTCCTAGGCTTACCACCTGTACGTTTTCGTAGTCGGTGTACAATTTGGAATTAGATGTCCGTTTCGATCTCCAGGTGCTCCTTCAAAACGTTTTTCAAAACCTCTTCCGGGTTTTTTTTTTTAAGTTTTCAGGTGTCCTTCCACTTCAATTCCAGAGAAAATCAAATTGTTCTTCATCGATTGGGTTTGTAATTTTAGAAAAAATTCCTTTAGGTCACCGTTCTCCCTTTCTAGTCCTCATCTGTCTCCCTTCGTTTATCGTTTTATATATGATAATTCAGACGACGGACACATTGGTGATGAGATTCAAGGGACACAACTCTTACATATTTCGAAGTAAGTACATACACATTTTTAGTACACGTTTTTCAATAAATTCATACTATCACGTACTATCAACAGCTAAATGTCATTTAAGCACGTGTACTGATAGAGTATTACCACAATTGTATCATTGTTTGGAAAGAAAAAAATCATATAGATTTGAATTCAAATGCAAAAGGAAAGAGAAAATGACGTTGAAAAGCCCACTAAAATAATGTACAATGCTTCTAAATTCTTCTCTCTGGTTGTACGGCTCACATCTATAATCAAATACACAGCTTTTCAAAGTATAATACATAACTGCAAGTGAGTGGAGTTAAAAACTGTTTTGGGATATAAAGTTTGCTCGAAATCTACATTTGTTGCGGAATACAGAAACAATCCTCTCTGAGTTTGGTAATACTTTACGATTATGATATATCCGTTAAGTTGTTTGTTTCCACTGGAAATTGATGCTAACATTTGAAATAAAAAAGAACTGAATTAAATAGGTCAAATTGATTTAACTGAGACGATAAATTGCATTATAAAAATGGCACATGTGTCGCCAGGGCCTTCGTTCTTTCGGCGCTCGCATGTGTATGCCGTCTATCTTGGGACGGTCTTTTTTCCAGAGTCAAAACTTCCTGGATCGGCCAATTTCTTATCGCACTTATAATAAAGGTGTAATTTATTACATTTGTGTATTAAAGATAGTCTCGAACCAGTGTTAAATGTTGTGAACACTTTTAATCCGCCCCATTTGCTTGTTTATAAACAAGAGATGTTAAACACAGTACCTGTTTTTTTATGAAAATTGTTTGAAAACATCTTCCCTGGTAAAATACTAGCCACTTCCTACCGACTCGACTAGGGAGAATGTCTATTTAGCTTATTCAGTAGAGCGTAAGACTAGTAAACATTACTAAACAAGAGGCCTTGGGTTCGAATGTGGAGGCATTGAAAAAAAAATATGACTTCTGTTACATCGGCGCCCACGTAGGGACCGGGCAATATTGACAACATACTGTAGCGATACTTAATTGCATAGGAATCGGTAATTACCCCTGAAACACTCGGGACGAGTTCTTTCATGAAGGTGGAGTGTGTTACCCTGGTACAAGTAGCCGTTTCCTACCGACTCGGCTAGGGAGAATTTCTCTTTAGCGTATTCGGTAGAGCGTAAGACTAATAAACCAGAGGTCCCGGGTTCGATTCCTAGCAGAGGCATTGACAAAATAATCGACCTCTGTTATACATGCTGCTATTTGAACTGAAGTATTATTATGATCATTTGTAGAGTGTAGCGGAACTGGACTGAATCGATCTTTGGCGACCATGTAGCTCAATATATCGATAGAGCATCCGTCTAGAGTTCGGAGGGTCCCGGGTTCGAACCCCGGTGTTGCCGTTAATTTTTCCTCTTATGTTACTTCTAGCATTTGGTGTATGCTTGTCAATGGGATACTCGAACCTGGGTTGTAAAAAGTTGTGTCTTCGTGGGCGAAGACTTACAAAAAGGAGAGAGGAATGTAGCAGAACTCGACTTGGTCGATTATATAATTGGTAGAGCGTCCGACTAGAGTTCGGAGGGTCTCGGGTCCGATTTGGTACATAGGCCTATATACTAGATTTTGAATTACATCTTGTGGTGCTATTTGAACATAATAATTTTAAATTAATTTGTCTATAGATAGAAAAAAAAGAAGCAGTTACTATGTATTCTAAGGCCTTTACATTGTTATAACTGAACTGTTGACACATTTATTGATGGTCCTGATCCAATTTGGATCCTTAGAAAACAATTTCTTATGGGAAATTTCATCTTTCACGAAATTCAATGGAATCCTGGTTGGTTTTAAACTGCATGTGAAACTATTTCTAAATTATTGAAAGACCACGCAGCTGTAGGAATTTATTTTACAATGACCGTTCTTCCTTAATGAATGAAAATATTATCTGCCAATCAAAATGCTCTATTGCGGGAACCCCGTTATTAACATCCGGGCATTTGAAAGGCGGTCGGTTCGTCTCGAAGATCAACAAAACAGACATGGTATGTTTTCACGTGCTCAATTCAGACATAATAATTCGTTAATTTGCGGTACTTTAGCAGGATTTCTGTCCATAATTTCAATATTATCACTTATGCCGCATTGTATAACATCAAACTTTATCTTAAAACACGATTGATATGTCAACCTGGTGGAAATTAGGCTAATATTTTCCCTGTCGATGCAAGATTCTGCATGTTTCGCGATCACACACACGAAATGTTGACATTTCAGTGGCCAACCTCTATATTTGAATAAAACTTATTCATATTCTTTTCGTCGGGAACATTTGAAAGTTTGGACATATATGATAGCAGTTGATGATTTGAAAATAAGTGTTTACAAATGTAGTACGAGGAATATTTAGTGAATCAATGCACATCTTTTACACAAACAGTACAGTATTTGAAATTTTGTTGAAGTGTTGATAAACTATTTTGACAATGCTGTACTGTATTCTGGCGTTTCGGATATTTTTTTACGGGAGTTTGAATCTCCTTACAATACCCATTTACTTCAAGCACCCATGGCCACTACACACCAGATACATTAAATATGGATGTGTGTACGACAAACACCTTTGGTGCCGTGTTTATTTTGAAGCTACATTTCAGTACAGATACCAGCTAGACAGTATACAGTAACGTGGTATATAAACCCCATGATCTTAATTGGATGACATCAACAATGTGGATTTGCCTATCATGTTTTTTGAACAGTTTATTTTTTTTGACAAATCTAGTCTCATTTTGGAAATTGAAACCCACATGGTTTTATCTGGCCCAATAATCTTTAAATGTAATTATATATCAGTGTGATGATTTAATAATAAGTCTGAATAAAATTTAGAAATGCCCCTGTAAGCTATACTATTTTCATAGTACAGTATCTCTTATGAAATCTACAAATTCTGACCATAAAAGCAGGTGAGGGACATCTTAGTGGTCATGTCTGTACATTGTACCTAACAAATAGCTCAGAAACTTTAATAAGTACTCTTTATCAAGCATCTATCAGTAATATAAACTATTTACACATCAGACAATAAAAGTACATTTTCCATTGTGTAGGCAAGTTACGGGGGAAAGAAAAATGCTCTGGCAGGGAGGGGAATGAAGAAAGGTGGTCCCAAACCAGAGCTTACAGAGGAACAGAAACAGGAAATCCGAGAGGCGTTCGATTTGTTCGACACAGATGGCTCTGGTACAATTGATGCAAAAGAACTCAAGGTATGTTTGTACTGTCTTATAGGATTACCCCAAACATTCTATAGTGGAGTTAATGGAGAATGCTGGTAAAAATATTTATATTACCAAATATATTTTATGACATAACGATACACTTGTTGTTAATTATGTAACAGTTGTAATTCTAAATCATATGACTAAACAAGAAGATTGCTAAGTAAAGGTAAAAAAATATACACTGATGTGTGATGAAAATAGCAAAAATGCTACGTACAAATGCATTGTAAGGAATTAGGTTATCTTGTGATAAGTACTAGTTCTTTATGCTTGCATATATACAGTCATGTTGTGCAAATGAACATTATTTAGAACAATAAATGTTCATAATTTTCAACTTTATTTTTGGTAAAAAAACATGTGCTTTTTGTTCTACCTTAAAGCACTATCAGTTATTGAAATGAACTACTGTATATTAATATAAGTTTTTTACATTTCCCACCTTGTCAGGGCTAGCTTCATTTGTCCTGAAGTGATATCCATATGCAATGTTAGTGCTGTAATAGTATTAAAAATCAAAATGCATCAAATTACATTACGAAAATGAGTTTTAGAGAAAACATGATTGGCTATATATTTAAGTGATAATTTTGACCATTTAATCTCAGCAAATATAGTCCTGAAATTTCGGTCAACGGGAAGCCAAAAGACAATTATAAATGTGTATACACAAAATTGGAAAATACTCAACAGATGTGTATTATTGCAGTGCTTAGCTATAGGTGTGTGTTGGATATCCCAGCTACTGTGTATAGCACAGCGTTCGTGTTAAAAGTAATTCTCAAGAAGTAATAACAAAAAATTGTTTTGCAGGTGGCGATGAGAGCGTTAGGTTTTGAGCCGAAGAAAGAAGAAATAAAAAAGATGATTTCAGACATCGACAGAGAAGGAACAGGTATACATTCCTGGATAGAACTCCTAAATAAAATCCAGCATCATCTTCAGAATCCAAGGGTTCCATTCTAATTTCACATATATATTCTCTGTGACCTTGTGTTTTTGGAATAAGTCATGGCAAAGTTGAACACATCTTACACAACATCTTGCAGATAATACAAGTAGACCTGTCTGATGAAGAACAAAGGAATTGAGCTGCAGCCTAACTATAAATCCACAGGTGTTAAAGTTAGAGGTAGCTCCTCTGTAATTTTCAAAGGACAGGTGCCAGTCTAACGATTGGTCGAGGCAACGCCAAGATAAGGCGTCTGATCATCTACAATCACTAGCCCTCAACTCGGTCACCATAGATGTCAACCTCAAGCTCTGAAACCTCTAAGGAGGGAGATCTCCCTCATTCAACATTTGAAACGAGGGAGAAAGTGCACGAAACATGACTTAACTGCTTTGCTCAATTTCTCTTTCCCTTTTTATGTATCAACTCCAAAAAGCATTCATTTGATTCAGACACACCTGTTATCAACTTAAGATCATTACACACACACACCCTGCAGTAACTAAGAGATCATTTGGCCACAGGATGTAGATTTTGACTTTGTCTGAGTTTGGACTTTAATGAGGGAGTTTTGAGAGAAATTGGTAAGTTTTGGTCAAAATGAAGGAGTCTCCCTCCTAATGAGGGAGGTTTGACAGCTTTGGGTCAATGGTTTGAGGCGTACGTGGGCAGATGCCACCTCCGTAGGTCGTTGGGTTTTTCCTCCCTGTACGTACTCTGGCTTTCTTCAATCACCAAAACTTGGCATACCGGTATCTTTTATAGCTGTTATAAGGATGTAAAACCAAACCAAATCAAACCAATTTAGCGATTAGTCAGATTATTATACCTGAAAATAATTTTGTTGTGATATAATTCAAGGGTGCGAAAGTAATATATATGTATATTGAAATCAAAACCCTTGGATTTCAAAGTAGGCCCAACAAATACATGTGGTGAAATGGTGGCCTAATAAATACATGTGGTGAAACAGTGGCCTAACAAATACATGTGGTGAAATGGTGGCCTAACAAATACATGTGGTGAAATGAAACTGGTTAATTATTATTCTTTTCTATTGGTCGCTCATAATTTCTACTAACAAACTAAAAACAGTATCCAAAATAAGATTATTTATTTATTATAAATATAAAATTATCATTATTGTCTTCTTTAAATAGGTACCATTGATTTCAACGAGTTTCTGATGTTGATGACACAGAAAATGAGTGAAAAAGATGTAAAAGAAGAAATCCTTAAAGCATTCAGACTGTTTGATGATGATGACACTGGTAAAATCTCATTCAAAAATCTCAAGCGTGTAGCCAAAGAACTAGGGGAGAGTCTAACAGATGAGGAACTACAGGTAAGTCTACTGTGTCCAGCTTTGTGGCAGCTATTCCAGGAAAACTAGTGTAAGGGACAGGAGGGAGTTTAAATATAAGTGTGTGGGTAAAACTGGCCCTACAAACTTTTTATGATGTATATATCAAATGTATAACATTGTCTTTGAAGTTTTGCTTTGTGTCATCCCCTCCTCCGATACAAACATCATCTACATGTTTGATTGTGTGAAGTGATATTTACAGATGCATTTGAATATATTATTCTTGCTGCGTTGACTTTGTAGTTTTGAAATTGAGATTGTTCGGACTGTAGCTATATGGTTTTACTTGTAACAGCATTGTTCATGGTGATTTTTGACATGTCAGAGGAAAAATATTCATCATATCTGTACATACGTTATAGTCATTAACCATGTATGAATATCTCGATTATTGTTTATGTTAAATACAGTATTGGTAGTGTGATGAATAGAATTTGTTGAATAGAGAAAATTTAATTTACTAAATAATAAAATAATCTGATATACAAATACACCTCTTAATTGTAAATTTGAATTTTCTTTAATTATTTTTCAGGAAATGATAGATGAAGCAGATCGCGATGGCGATGGTGAAATTAATGAAACAGAATTCCTGAAAATCATGAAGAAAACAAGTTTGTACTAGTATTCTAAAAAACTTAATAATTATTTAGACATTCCATTGATTTCATCTTCACAAAGTGAGAGAGTCTGGGACCAAGCGAGAGGGAAAACAAGCAAGAAGATCTGAATATGTGCCGGAACTTACATGTCTGTTTTGAAGGTGTTATGTGTACAGTAACTGTTCTGTTTCATCTCGTTACTTAGTATAAAGTCTCAAGTGTCACAACAATTCTCCAGGAATTATAAATGCTGCCAGTTTCTGTTCTGAAATTCTTTGTTTATTTAAGAAAAAGATTATAGCCTGGAGTTTTGGTGTAATTACGTATGTGCTTTTTTGGTCAAAGGGAGATTACTCATAACCAGTTACAGATGATTTTTGCCAAAATTTCTTAAATTGGTAACAGTCATTCTTAGACAAAAAACTGTAAGAAATCAATAGTTTTCTCAAAGAAATGTAAATGTAAGATAGTTATTCCCTGAACTATGACAAAAAATAATTAGTTACATATTTTTCTTTATTGTAATACCTGTCAACAGTTTAACGGATAGAAACTTAAAACAAATCAAGTTAAACATATTCTAGTTCCATGTGAAGTGCTACAGAATATTGGTTTTAATACAGGTTGTTTCATTAATGCTGATATAAATATCACCAATTTGTCTGTACATTGCTTATAAACAAATGTTCAACCATTTATTTTGTAAATAAATATGATTAAATATATATATTAAAAGTGTTTCTATTGTCAACTTTTTTCTTTGTTTCCTCCCTTTTATACTACATATCTTAAACATACTACATCCAATTTTTGTATTTTGTATTTTTGTAACCTTTAATATTTCTTGTAGAAATTTTCATGAAGAAGATTGTTTTTTAGCCAATTTAACCCCTTTTGGCTCCACTACCACTTGCATGGTCAGAAACATCTTTACTTAGTATTATTACCTAGAATCATCAAACTCTGAGATAATTTCTGGAAAGATGTCAAAACTATAATGGGTGGTGGGTGGGTGGGTTCAGCCCCGTCATGAGAATAAATTCTGATCATCATCAAAGCATTATTTATGAAAACGTTCGTCAAAATCTACCTGTAAGTTTCACAGAAGAAGTGTTTTGATGGTTTTGTACTCTGAGATCCCTTATGGCCCTCGAGCTCCCCTCCAGCCCCCTTGGATGGAGGTCAGCCAAACTTGAGTACCTATATATTCTAATCCACACTTCAGACTGATGATTCATCAAATATGACGGACAGTTCCTGAGGAAAGGTTCACCTATCCCCAGGTTAATCCACATGTAAGTTTCACAGAAGAAGTCTTTGGAAGGTGGTGCATTCCGTGACCTCTTATGGCCCTGCACTTCAGGCAGCCCATGTGGAAAAGTCAAAAATATATATGATTGTTTATACATGATGGATAACACAATGACAGACAAAATCGCAATAGGTCACCTGAGCGACTCAAGTTACCCCAAAAACTGCAAACAAATCTTCATGTTACAGAATTGAAGTCTTATGGGGGAAATATAAAAGGCAAGACAAACACTTTGATTATATTTATTCTGTTTTACTACACAAATGAAACGTTACAACATATTTTGAAATTGACTTCACTTCCAACAATTAGTTGCAATACCAGGTAATACAAAAACACCAATTGCTGTCCATTCGGTTAAATTAAAACTGGAACTGTTGCCATATTGGCAGACTAAAAACTCATAAGTGGTGTTAGAATATAGATTGAAAGAAGTATATGCAGTGTACCATGAATGGCTGCGAAGCTATATGAGGCCAATATTCAAAATCAACAAATGTAAATAATTTCACAAAATAAAATCAACACAACGCTATGTAAGAGCATACGTGACCTATTAAAATCACAGCTATCTTTCTGTTAATGATTGTAATAAGTCCTACAGTTAAATGATTCTTACCTGTAGGAGAACATGATGTAATTTTGAAATTCCTGATCAAAAGACCCAACAACATTTTCACTAGCATCACTATGCTATTAGAAACTATGATTATGGCATCACCATGCTAACTGGAACCATAATGACTATAAAAACAACAATGGGAACCATGACATCATAATTATGATGTCAACTCTAACGTAGATTTTGACGATATGATTACATGAACCACCACCATGATGTACATGACCATGACATCTTGAATCATTGCCATGACAACTGGTTTAATTATAGGACTACTATGATCAGGACAACCAGTGCCTACAATGTAGTTGTTCAAAAGGGGATTAGCCGAATCACTGTTTAACATCATTTTTCAACCTCCAAAAATTTGGTCAGTAACAAGGTAAAATATGATATTTTGTATGTAGTTTTAATCTGCAAAAATATTTGCTTTTTGGAAAGTTTTAACTCAGTTAATGGTTATATTTTGAAGATGCTCAAAAAAATCAAATTTGAACTAATCACTTATCAAGCTAATCACCTTTTGAACAACTGGGACCTAAATGATAACTTTATTGACCATAACAGCTGGTAACATGACCTACATCACCATGCCAACTAAAACTATAGTTTCCAGCATCATTACAACTAGGACCATAATTATATAATTACTACACCACAGTTACCATGTACACCACGGTTACCATGTACACCTCGTTGACCATGTACATCGCGGTTACCATGTACACCACAGTTATCATGTACACCATGGTTACCATGTACACCACGGTTACCATGTACACCACGGTTACCATGTACACCACGTTGACCATGTACACCACAGTAACCATGTACAACACGGTTACCATGTACACCACGGTTACCATGTACACCTCGTTTACCATGTACATCGCGGTTACCATGTACACCACGGTTACCATGTACACCACGGTTATCATGTACACCACAGTTACCATGTACACCACGGTTACCATGTACACCACGGTTATAATGTACACCACAGTTACTATGTACAATGACCATAACAACTCTATGGTGACCATGCAGCAACATGGCCAATAATTAAAATCTATGAGAACTGAAACCATGACTAGGCATACATAATCCCCATTACCACTGGAATCATATATAGCTTAAACCACAACTAGACACATGAATTCTATCATTCAAACCATGACCACAAGCACCACTTCCATAGAAATCATGTTTACCTTTTCCTAGTATTATCATGACAATCACACATAACTACAATTACCAGGGACCAGGATCTATATAGGCATGATGACAACGAAGTAAACCACAATTAATCAGAACTTGATTATAACCTTTTTGTATGAAAACATGAAATTCCATCATGTAACATAAAATTCATTAACATTTTTATATACTAAGATTACACACAAATCTCCAAATTACACTTGTATAAAATTAAACATGCAGAATATCACATAAGATTTAAATTTCATTCATATCAAAATGTACATAGATATAATTAAAATGAATACTGATTATCGCATAAATCAATAAAACACACATTAATGGATATTCATATCTATAAATTAATTATAAAAGATATAATATATAAAGGTATATATACCATGTGACCATATTCTGTTTAAATTTTACAATGAGGTTGGGTGTACAGATTTGATTCTGATTGATATCATTTATGAGTTTATGTAAGTAAATGCTGATTTGTGTATTGTTCGTGCATCTTTAAAAATACGATGTCTGAATTGTGTATTGTTTTTATAAAGATTTTGTTGTATCAAATTACCCCACCAAAGAGATGAACCTCAAACAACCCTACAACAGAGTATCGAGACTCATTCTTGTGATATGATGTTATAATTCTTAATCATAAAAGATTAAAGGGAAAAAATATGGATTCTTCTACAATATATTCCAATGCTGTAAAATGGGAACATTTTCTCGCTGTAGAATTATTTTCTTGAGTACACTAGCTAAACCACACTTTTGTCTAAACTAGCCAGAAATTGCAACATCTGCTAATTAAGACTAGGGTCAATCCAGGACTCTCTGCAAACTGGCCAAAGTATATGGTTACTTCAAGAGTGTCCATTTTAGATGTACAATGTTAGATGTACAAATGTGATTTTGTAGAAAGTAAATTAGTGTAAGATATTGAAGCATCATTAAACCTACATTACCATCACTAGGTACCTAAAGTGTAGTGTACTGAAACTAAACGGATGTCACTGTATTCAATGTTAAGAGTCTTTGACACTGATGAGCTCAATATCTTAGCAGATGTTATATATACCGAGGTATCGAAGATGAAAAGATCGAAAATCATCCCAAATGGGTTACTTTGTTTCAGTGGAACATATGACCGTTATTACCCTTGAAAAAAAGACCAATAGAAATCGGTCAACCTGTTGTTTCATCATTCTAGGTAGAACAATCGGTTCATATCACACCGTTTCCAATAAAGAAAAACAAGCAATCAGGTCTTCTTGACATTATAAATCAGTAGAATGAACTAAAACGGAGAAATCAGTTGACCACAAACAGAAAGTAAGCAACAAGGGTCTGTTTCATGAAACTGTTCTCATGCTTTTTGAGTACCGGTAGATATATTCTTTGTTCAAACTAACTTTCTATACCCGTTTAAATCATGTCACAAGGTCAAAACTTCTAAGTTTAACCAATAAAAACGGCATTCGGTTTTAATTATCTCTAACTCTCATCCATATATCTTTGACAAAGTATTATTACATTGCCGGAAGAAGAAATTTTGCTTGAGTACAGATTCTGAGTAATAGTATAAAAACAGTTTCATGAATATGGGCCAAGGTCTTTTAAACGTGATATTGCTTGATAGAAAATAATATGTAAGTTCAAAGTTTTCCGAATTTTGCTTTCCAGTATTCGTCTTCCTGCTGCCAAACACTGTGTGGTTTGTGGTAGACCTCACCACCACCACCTCCAGGTAGAGGTACCTGGTCGTACGATAGACTGGCAAATGGTTTCTTCATCGGAAGCAGCCAGTAGGCACTGTTGTAGTATAAATAGAATTTATCTCTATTCATAATATACAGCAGAGCATCTAATAAGTTTAGGACCAGTTTCTCATCAGAGACATGTGACTGGAAATCCTTATAGAAATTTATCATGTCTTTTGCTAATGCTGCATTGCTTTTGTTTCCAAAAATCTCGGTTTCGTTGCCAAGATAGATTGGCTGACTGGAATACAGATGTATACGTGTGTAGTTCAGGCTAACGCTGTGATCAAACTTTGCTCCAATTACACCAAGCTGGTCAAATGCACGAAGGACCCAACTTGCACAGTCAAAAGCGTCAAACCACATTTGGCCTCCTGAAATATATAGATACAGAAGTCAAAGTTTGCCGTACAAGATCTAGGTAAGGAAAATGTACCAAACTTGGATACTCAGTGTACAGCAATGCATGCACAAGTAATAAATATTTAATATGGAAGTTTTTTTTATATACTTTCCTACCAAACTTGCATTATTTCCTATAAGTGCAATGACCAATGAAATAATAAAATGCTAATTCTTTAGCGGCTGACTGCCGTGTCAAAGTCCATGAAATTTGAACCAGTTATAAAAAGAGGCTTACAGTAATTTACAATGTACATACACTGTATATATTTCTTACCAGGTTCACTCTCCACTGTCCAGGTTTCGTAGAAGAGACCAGTTCGGTTGTCCTTTAACACCCAGTCAGCAAATGTGTTAAACTGGTCTCCTGCAGTGATCCAAGAATGCAATGTACAACGATATGGATGACACTAATTACAGGTTCATGAATGACAGGATTATACATATGATCACATAGAGTACAGAGATGGTGTTAAATAATGTTACTTTGAAATCAATGTCATAACATCACCATACGAGGGTGAAAATCTGATACAATTATTGACACTTAATGAGATCAATTGAAATATTTATCATCCTGAAAATTCAAATGTTCAATGCAGACTTTCTAAATCATCATGTGAAATTTTAACAAATGTTAAACCTTATTATGATGAGCAATTTTCACTGATTCCAATTTCTATTATAAAATAAAACTTAGTTCACTTTCTTGTTTTTGTTGAAATATCATACCTTTTTAGCTTTATGCCTGATTAAAGATTGGCAAAAGACCTAAGAAAATACCTGTCATCGTGGCGACCTTAGCTAGTGTGCCGTTCTGGTGCCACAGTTTATCCTCAATCCCGTCGTAGATACAGGTAGCTCCCTGGTTGCACCACTGGAGAGTGTCGTTCTTTAGGAGATGAGGAAATGTACAGTTAAACAGCTGGAAGAGTTCATACCACTCCATGGTGTAATTATGTCCAGTCTTCACATTCTTGATACCAAGAGCATCATGAATTATATGCTGCGAATAGAAATTAAAGAATTATCATTACTTAAAGACATTCTATTGTAGCGGAACTAGACTGGGTTGATCCTTGGCGACCAGGTAGCTCAATAGGAAGAGTGTCCTTCAAGAGTTTAGAGGGACACAGGTTTGAACCCCAGAGACTGGCCGAGTTTAGAGGGACTCAGGTTTGAACCCCAGAGACTGGCCGAGTTTAGAGGGACACAGGTTTGAACCCCAGAGACTGGCTGTGCATTTTTCCATCTCCTGTTACACTATCATCAACCCTGAATTTATTTAGAACATGACATAGTGTTATTTTTAAGCAAATTGGTTCATATTGCATCTGTACCTCTCGAACTCCAAGAAATGTGTTTGGAATTAAATCTCTCCGACAACAGTATTAAAAACCATCTTCAGATCTGTGACTGTTCAATTTTGAATTGTTTGTAATGGTTTTACCTATATTTTGTCAAAATGATATATATGTACAATATTAAATGTAGATTTAATTTTTGCTCTGAGTTGACAGACTTGTTTCAACCATTTGAAATTCATAAGACTAACATTTGACAAGTTGAGATTTGAAAAGTTTTAAATTATGTACTACATGTATGTTATATTCTATTTTTAGAATTTGTCAACCCATATTCTTTAGGAGTAGATTTTAAAATAATTGTCCTACTTCCCCCATTCGTCACATCCTTCTGGCCTGAGGAATTACCACACCTTTTTAAACAAAACTGAATCCCCATGCCACGCGGCCCAAGATCGAGGCACATAGACCACCTGTATTTCAGGGGTACTCTTTGAAAGGTCAACACAAATTTAACATCTTGTATCAATCCAAGCGTGGATAATGAAATGATACAGAATAATTACGATATAACTTTTGGACTATCTAAAATCTAAATCAACAGACCCCACAATATAGCCTAAATCTCTTATTAACCCTTTTACCACTGTAGACCATAATGGACTCATCCATAGCAATGCATGGTAGAGTCTACTAAAGTTACATAGGGGGTGAAACGGTTAAGATTGATTGTTTCTGACCATGAAACCGTTCCAGGGAAAACAATTATATTTTGCTATAAGTTATTGTAACATATGTCTTGCGTAAACCACTTACAAATTTTCCCAATAAATCTCCAAACTTGAACTGCCAGACAGGTTTCTTAAGAGCATAAATTTCTACTGGATCTGTGGGATTGAACAATGGCATGGAGTTGTCGGGCTCTCCACTTGGACAGAATGGAATGACACCAGCCTGACAGAAAGGGCTGGATATGGGGCGGTGATCATATCTCCTGAAAATTGCAAGGAAAATTAAACATTGTTAAGATTTACATTTCTATAATTATTGTAAATTACATGAATATCGCATTAAAATAATTTAATAATTATTGTTAAAATTCTTTGCCTTAGTGAGAATGTGTTGCTCGAACACGTACACCGGACATGGTTTTATATTGTAAGAATGAATTTGATAAGCTTATGTTCTATGTGCCAAGTCCTCAAAAATGGGTACTGGCCATGGCGTATTTTCATTCATAAAATAGGTTAAAAATATGGAACAGTGGGTGGGCTTAATATCGGTAAAAGATGGTCAGCTATTTATAATTAAGTTTGCACATTACATTTCATCTTTCAAAGAAACAGATGATACGCCGATGCTTCAACCCAGTCCGAGATTCCTCTAGCCCTGACACCACACCAAACATCTATTTGCTAATGTCTAAGCCTGGTGTCGGGGCCAGATGACACTCGTGCTAGCTTCCACCGTCCAAGTTCGACTATTATTTATAAAAACACGATTTCCACATGAACCGGTCACAATCTGAAATCTATATCAACAACCGGGAGGAAAAGGTTAAATATTTGAGTTTACAAACCTATAAGGAAGTGGCCATGCTGCAAATGTGGACGAAATTATACAGCAAAGGAAAAGTATCGATGAAGAAGAGAACAAACCGAAACTGATTCTCTCGTCCGCCATGATGTGTATCATGTGATAGCGAATTAAGAAATCACGTGACAACCAGAAAGGAAAATGGCAGCCCCCACAGCCTTTACGTGAGTGCGATAACGAGAGATAACAAATTACAGATAACGTCCATACACATCAGTGTGACAGTTATTTACTGTATAATCCGACATCAAATCGTTAATATCATTGCTGTGGAAATATACACATCCCCGTATAGGATCACGGAATTAGATTAGTCCGTGGTATGATCATATGAAAAAGTTGACTGCTCACAGGTAGGCTACTTCCTACAGGTTGGGCACAACGGCGCATATTATGATATGGGTAATAATTCTGCATTTGGGTAACAGTTACCCATGTGAGTAACAATTTTAATACTGAAATGGGGAATGAAAAAGTGAAATAAAAACACACAAAGTTCTTTTAACACTTGGAGCAAAAAGGGCGTCATTCTGTCAACTCAATCAAATAAATAACACAATGATGTACATTTGTGCACAAAAAATTATCAATTTTGATGTCTAACTTTTTGTGAAAAGGACAAACCATATCGCTGACTTTGTTCCCCATTGACTTCAGTGAGTAGTCAAAGAGACTGATCCAGTGAACATATGACAGGTGAGCATGATTTGTGTATCTCTATTTATAGCTACTCAACAACACACTAAGCAATGGAGGTGATACAATTTGTAATTTTCACAAAAAATTAGACAACTGAATTTACATATTTTTGTACACAATTGTACCTCATTGTAATTTTTATTTAATTATGTTGAAAGAATGATGTCCTTTTTTGTTCATAATGTGTAAAAGAACTTTGTGTGCTTTTATTTCACTTTATTTCCCATTTCAGTAATAAAATTATTACTGAAATGGGTAACTGTTACCCGAATGTAGGATTTTTACCCATATGTGCCGTTGTGCCCAACCTGTACTACGGTACTAGCATCGTATGTGACACACATACGAGGCTAGTACCTGTGGTGTGATGACACTTTCTTAATTTCTTCTTTTCTTTATCAATTTAACTGCAATGTGATACTGTGATACTGTACATGTACCACACACTTGCTGTAAGCACGGACTTAGATCATGTTGTAAACAACTGTCATTCTTTTCGAAAAGTACTGATAAAGAAAAATAAAAAAAAATGTTTTAAAATATCGTTATCTTAAGCTGTGTAATGAATTGATTGAATCTGACTGGATTAAGAAATCCTGTGGACTTCAGATAAACCAAAAATGCAAATGTAGCATAAAGTTGATTAAAACAGCAGCTTCTTTAGCTGGAATTTTAACATTTGTCTTCTTCACCTTCTACATGTATTTATATGATAGTGCAGGATTTTCTTTTCAATATCTTTATTAAATGCAAGTATTTCCATTACTGGGGTTGGTGTCCCATTGCGATATCCACTACATTATTGCAGCTCATATGTATTACAAGAATCTTGATATATAAATATATATAGGCTTTTGCCTGCATCCAGTATTATTATATTTTTATTATTAAGAATGAAGTTATATATGCAAGACATGTGTTACTGACAGTTATGGTAGTAATTGATTTCATGTTTCCCTTGCAGTTTCTTGTTATATGAATTTTATAAAATAGACCTATTTTAAATGATGAACTTAAGTAAATGCATAGCTGTTTTAAGGCTTTTTTAACTGATGGTTATGTAAGCTGGTCATGTCAGCATATAAGGTGTTTGTACTGACCAGGTCAGTCATCATGGCCTTCAGATACAACTTCATCTTAATTAAAAATCACTAATTGTGTAGAACAATCTATCTTTTTTGTTTGATGGCATGTGGAGGCAAAGATTACTGTCAGCTAGCATTTCATGTTGGGGAGGCAAAGATTACTGTCAGCTAGCATTTCGTGTTGGGGAGGCAAAGATTACTGTCAGCTAGCATTTCGTGTTGGGGAGGCAAAGATTACTCAGCTAGCATTTCGTGTTTGGGAGGCAAAGATTACTGTCAGCTAGCATTTTGTGTTGGGGAGGCAAAGAGTACTGTCAGCTAGCATTTCGTGTTGGGGAGGCAAAGATTACTGTCAGCTAGCATTTCGCCTCGAGGAGGCAAAGAGTACTGTCAGCTAGCATTTCGTGTCGGGGAGGCAAAGAATACTGTCAGTTAGCATTTCGTATCGGGGAGGCAAATATTACTCAGCTAGCATTTCGTGTTGGGGAGGCAAAGATTACTGTCAGCTAGCATTTCATGTTGGGGAGGCAAAGATTACTGTCAGATAGCTTTTCGTGTTGGGGAGGCAAAGAGTACTGTCAGCTAGCATTTCCTGTTGGGGAGGCAAAGAGTACTGTCAGCTAGCATTTCGTGTTTGGGAGGCAAAGATTACTGTCAGCTAGCATTTTGTGTTGGGGAGGCAAAGAATACTGTCAGCTAGCATTTCGTGTTGTGGAGGGAAAGATTACTGTCAGCTAGCATTTCGTGTTGGGGAGGTAAAGATTACTGTCAGCTAGCATTTCGTGTTGGGGAGGCAAAGATTACTGTCAGCTAGCATTTCGTGTCGGGGAGGCAAAGATTACTGTCAGCTAGCATTTCGTGTTAGGAGGCAAAGATTACTGTCAGCTAGCATATCGTGTCGGGGAGGCAAAGAGTACTGTCAGCTAGCATTTCGTGTTGGGGAGGCAAAGATTACTGTCAGCTAGCATTTCGTGTTGGGGAGGCAAAGATTACTGTCAGCTAGCATTTCGTGTCGGGGAGGCAAAGATTACTGTCAGCTAGCATTTCGTGTTAGGAGGCAAAGATTACTGTCAGCTAGCATATCGTGTCGGGGAGGCAAAGAGTACTGTCAGCTAGCATTTCGTGTTGGGGAGGCAAAGAGTCCTGTCAGCTAGCATTTCGTGTCGGGGAGGCAAAGAGTACTGTCAGCTAGCATTTCGTGTTGGGGGGGCAAAGATTACTGTCAGCTAGCATTTCGTGTTGGGTAGGCAAAGAGTACTGTCAGCTAGCATTTCGTGTCGGGGAGGCAAAGATTACTCAGCTAGCATTTCGTGTTGGGGAGGCAATGATTACTTTCAGCTAGCATTTTGTGTTGGGGAGGCAAAGAGTACTGTCAGCTAGCATTTCGTGTTGTGGAGGCAAAGATTACTGTCAGCTAGCATTTCGTGTTGGGAGGCAAAGATTACTGTCAGCTAGCATTTCGTGTCGGGGAGGCAAAGAGTACTGTCAGCTAGCATTTCGTGTTGGGGAGGCAAAGATTTAAAATATTACTGACAGGGATGTGAAGGCGAAGATTTCTCTTTAGCCAGTGTTTTGTGTGATAGGTTACTCTGAGTGATGCGTTTAGGCAAATATAACTTGTCAACAATATCAATGTGTAGACAAAGATTACGGACTTTCAGCCAGCTTTTTCTGCGATGAGGAGACTTTTTACTGTCAGCCAGCATTTAATGCTATAGGTGAGGGGGCATTGTGAGCAAATTGAAAGGGACAAAGTTCTGTCAGCGCCCAATCTCCCAACATAAATTACTCTGAATTTTGTTTTTAGAAGATTCAAAAACAAAATCACACAATACCACCATTTGTCTCTGTATACTAATACACAAACTATGTGATGTTACATCAGTTAGTTACATTCTATTGAATTCTTGTTTATAAAGCTGATTCAGTTGTTCATTTTGATGAGTTGGTCATATTTATTTTCAGCTTATCCATATAACTATGATGATTTGATGAGAGAGATTAGCAATGGACATGAACTGTGACAGAATCCTTGATGTTGGGCAGGTAATATAATAGTGTCATTAAGTTAAAATCTCGGTAATAAAGACGGAGTAAAGATTTGTTTCTGGACTATTCTGGGTTATACATTTCTATTTACTCTTTTGTGTAGGATAAAAAAAATAAAAAATTATAGTACTTTTACCTAGATTGTTACCATTGGTTACATAATGAAACTATAAAGTTCTAAAATTAAGATTTATTTTACAGCATTTGTCCTTAATATGATTCATGAGTTTGAAAAAATTAGAATTTTTGTATAATTATCGAAGTTTTACATTTTATACAAACAAGTTTATTGGTGAACATGATTCAAACTGAATTGCTTTATATAATTTTTGTATAATTTTCCAGTTGGTTGATCTCAAATGGAAAGTGGGTGTGGCGATGAGCTCGGATACTTGCCGTAGTTTGAACAGTTCCTATGTTGCTATGGCAATCAAGGTCGCAGATCCATCAGGGAAGGTCACAAGTCATAAATTTGAGATGACAGTCCAGCAGTTCCAGGTATCCATCAACTAACCTGTGCAGTAATATACAGGGGACCTCAGGGCTCTGGTTGTTATTGGTATAATTTGGTCAGAAGTTGAAATATTCATGTGACAATTCCTTGCCAAGCTGGGAAACTACATGACTACATGAATTTTAAAGATATTGATGTGTATATAGAGGCATCAATGCCTGCGTCCACTAATATCCTATTAAATCCTATTAAATGACTTGCCGCATACCCAAGGCTACAGATGTACCTCATTTGGTAATCTCAGATATATATGCAAGGAAGATATAATGCTAACACACAAAAAACATTCTTGTACACAGTCAAGGCTACATGAGGAAACCAGGAACTTTTCTCCAAAGAAATATTATACCTACCTATTAATGTTAAATGTTGTCCACACAGAAAAATAAGATGACATGATTTACCTATAAATATGTTTGTTTTCTTCCACAGAATTTTTCCAAGCAGCTAAAAGACATGGCTAGTGCAATGGAAACCGTATGACGACAGAAACTAGTTAAAAGGAATGGAGTTCAATTGTAAAACATGCTTAGCGGTCAGTCTGAAAACTTGTGGGGGGCAGATTGTGGTGCTGATAGTGTGGTTTGTGCCTCTAAATAATATATGACAATCATGGCATCTCTTGTGAATTTGTGGAAACTGAAGAGTTCTTTATTGAAAAAGATGTATAATTCAAGATTACAGAATCCAAAACAACCTGTTGAATTTGAACAGGGCACATGACAGAGAAGATAATTTAGGTGGCACTGAACCAAAAAGACAGATCTGAAATTTAACAAAGGTTTGTTTACGGCGTTTCAAGTCGGTGAGACCTGTCAAAGAAAGAAAAGGACAAATAGGACATTTTAGATGACACAGAATTGATATGATGGAACTGGAAGTTAGTGAAGATCTGTAAAGGATTAAGATGTGTGAAAATCTGAAGAAGACATCGAGGGTGACACAGACCCTGTTTAACAAAGATGAAAGTAAATATAGATCTGTTGAAGTTACCTGTTATGTGTACAGCTGTGGGAACCGTATCTCAAGGTCCTGTTTTTATTTTAAAAATCTAAGATTATCATATCTATGGTCAGATAATCTTAATTTGTTTTTGATATAGTCTAGATAGATATAGATAATCTAGATTGTCCAAATTGATAAAATTGGACAGACCTTGAGCTACGTCTCCTGTAGCTAATTTGTTCTGTGGCAGACTTTTTCATCCACAAACAGACACCATAAGCTGCAAGGCAGACATGACTGATGCTGCGTATGATAATAAAATTGATAGAAATAATTTTAATAATTTGATTCTAGATATAACAAAAAGATAGGTGTTGAGTTGAATATTGAAAAACAGCAGAAATTAAATGAATCATGTTTATTTATTAAAAAGCTAAGTCTCTAGGCAGTGTATAACCTGATTGTGTTTGAGAGAAGACAACGTAGCTTAGACCGAATAGTTTCCTGTAGTTGTGGATGAAAGAGTTTGCTGTGTGCATGAAGTTAGTTGAATTTGTTTGTTAAAATGTTGTACTTTTTGACTCAAACAAAAGTGTTGTATAAAGATTGGTTAAATATTGTTCTGAGAAAACTATGACAGTCATAAATGATTTAATTTTGACATAGAAACTGCATCATTAATAAAAATAAATAATCTTTACTCAAAAGTTTAACACAAGATTGATATTCTCCACCAGATCAACACTATAACCTTATTAGTCGGCAGACGTTTCACATACACTACTTAATTAAAGAAATCCTTGACTTATATTAGACCTTAGGAAACATCGTGACATGAAGAAAAAAATCATTAACTTGACATTTTTTTCTTGCTCTAGAAATGCTCTCAAATAGAAAAAAGTGAAGCAAAAGAATTTCCTACAGCGGAGGATTGATCATGAGCATTTTCTGTATCACAAAGTTTTATCCATATCAATACACTGTATATGAAAACTATCATGAAATAGAAAAAAATATTTGGTTTGTTTACTTTTATTTGGGCTTTGAGGAAAAGGGAATTTTTAAGACTCAAAAACATAAATATTAATGTCAAAATTGAAATGATTTTTCCCCCTAAAACAGCATTATTTTGATGCTCTAGTTTTGGATACATGTGGTGCTCTTTGTGGACTCAGCCCTGACACAGGTTTATTTATAGATGTTGTAACTGTCTAGAGCTGCTCTTTGTGGACTCAGCCCTGACACGGGTTTATTTATAGATGTTGTAACTGTCTAGAGCTGCTCTTTGTGGACTCGGCCCTGACACGGGTTTATTTATAGATGTTCTAACTGTCTAGAGCTGCTCTTTGTGGACTCAGCCCTGACACGGGTTTATTTATAGATGTTGTAACTGTCTAGAGATGCTCTTTGTGGACTCGGCCCTGACACAGGTTTATTTATAGATGTTTTAACTGTCTAGAGCTGTTGATGCACTTAAATAAACTTTTTATCTTAGATTCTAACACTTTTAAAAGTCTGGGTCACAGAGTATAATATTTTTGATTATTTATTTGCTATATTTTGCCGAATTATAAAGATACATATATACAACACCATATCTCGGGGACAGTTTCCTTCTATTTATTGTACTCGGATGTATACAGATTTATGTGACAACCAATAATACGGGCTACTTTCTGCATTACATGTTATCACTGCACATTACATGTACTGTATTTATCCTGCAACCCGCGAGAGGGGGGGGGGGGGGGGGGGTAGTACATAAACTTACGACGCAAAGTAGGGGCGGGTTTATTGTGTATGACATTTTACTAGAGCTTAATGTTTAAATGTTGAATAAACATGGTAATTACCAGTAATATTACCTATGCATTCCAAAGTGCAGATCAATGTAATTGTGCCATTTACCATATACAGTGTATATAGGAAAGAAAAAAAACAAAAATCCATGTACAACTTTTTCTAACTTACACGATACTATGTCGCAGTGACCTGAAAATCTAAATTTTGTGTCAACATAAATTTATGATCAATAAATCAATTGTAACATCAGTAAATTGTTATCATTAAAACTTTTCTCTAAAAAATAGAAATGACCTTGCAGAATTCCATGCAAATTTCTTCAGTCTTTAGAAGTGTCAGATTAGATATGCTTTGTTGTCTGTAAACTGCTATTTGTTGCACAGACAAGATTAAAACACTGGAGTTATATTCTTTGATGATATGTTGATCATAAATTGCACAGACAGATGCCAAGCTGTTCCATATTTACGAGGGAATTATTTTGGTATGGGTTGTTAGTCTGATAAACAGATTTTGTGTGTACATATCCTATATACATATTTCCATGTTAAACAAACTTGTTGCTTTTTATTACGTATAATTTTATCATGTATAATTTTTTGCAATTTTTGCTATTCTACCTAGAAATCTCACAATCCCTTACATTGACTTTTTCTACTGTGTAATAAAGTATTAGATATTGAAATCTATTTTTAATGATTTATTTAAGAAATAATCAGCGTATGTTCGTGTGTTATGGTGGAATATATAAAAAGGATGAGAAATTGTTAAAAAAATAATTAACGAAGGGCGCTTATTCCACTATAATATACAAACATGTTGACTTTATCAAGTACCTGGTACAACGTTTCAACAGAGACTGTGTGTCTACCTAGTGTGTATATGCCAATGATAAGCAAGGTGACCCAGATAAACTGATTATTTAAATTAGGCATGCTCACATTTGTTACGTGATGCCTTATGTCTTCATTTCACAACAAGTTTTAGTTCTATTTTGTGTATTTAACCTGGATATATTTCGGAAGGACTTTTCACTTTCATTCATCATCATTTGGTCAACAGACATTACACTTTATGCAAGATGTTTATTTCAGTCAATTAAATCCACTAATCTATCGACATCACTCGAGAAATTTCTGACTGTGAGCTTGACAAGTTTTAAAAAGATCTAAAGGTTAAAAAGAGTTTTTTTTTGTTTGTCTGCTAGTAAATCTTCAAATACATACAAAATGAAATGTGGGTACCCTAGTTCGACATATGAAACCAGTCCCACAACTCGCTTGCTTACCAGATTTGTGGGAAAGGTTTTGCAATAGCGTTGGTCTGTTGGAAAATCATACATGCACTGCATTGTCTATCTTCCATTCTAACATGATTCGTTTGCAACGGGTGTTTTGATTGGATACGGACCATGCTCTAATCTGCGATAGAATCAGGATCAATCGTGTTAAGCTCCTCCCATCGCACTTAAGCCACGCCCCGTTTCTAACCAAAACAATATGGCGTCAAGCTCGCCTCTTAGCGAAATCCCGCTGATAAGGCTAGTAAGCAACAGAACAGAAACGACCGACGAAATGTATTTGTTGAATGAATTAAAAAGTAAAAAGTACACATTCCTTGTTCTTACCTCGATTTATTACTGAAACGTTTGTTCCATCCATGTGAAGGCATCTACATTGTATTTAGATCCAAAATCAAATGAAATATTTCACATGTGTCGTATGCATTTACACAAAACTCTTCACAAATCTATACAAATAATCACCGATTTTGTCGATAAGCACAGATTGGTATGCATACTGACATGGAAATGTAAGAACTTGGTCAATATTAATCCAAATGTGTCGTATAAACTTTGGTAACAGGACGTTCACGAACAATCCAAATAATACGCCTCGTCAACATACAGATTGAGCGCTCTCCAGTATGGGAGGGGCCAAATGACCGACTTTTGAAAGCTTCTTTCCGATAGGTCAGTCCGCTGCAGAATGACACGTCGCCAGTTCAAGTAACAAAGTATTTTACTACGTACTTTGGTACAAGGAAATACAATGTTTCTAAACATATTAGCGTAGTATATTTGTTAAAGTGTGTTAGAATGGGGATAGTACGTTGTTTTTAGCTCACCTGGTCCGAAGGACCATGGTGAGCTTATGCCATACCACAGCGTCTGTCGTCCATCCGTCAACTTTTCCTTTAAATCGCTACTTGTCATGAAAGACTTAGCAGATTTTGACCAAATATTTTGACCAACTTTTGTCAGAAGCATCCTTGGGGGAAGGGTAACAAATTTTGTATAAACAGTGGGTCTGGCCCCCCAGGGGCCTGAGGGGCGGGGCCCAATAGGGGAAACATAGAAAATTGTTTAAAATCCTTCTTCTTCTGTAGGAATGAAAGGATTTTATCCATATTTGGTCTGAAGCATCCTTGGGTGAAGGGGAACCAATTTTGTATAAACTGTGGGTCTGGCTCACCAGGGGCCTGAGGAGCAGGGCCCAATAGGGGAAACATAGCAAATTGTTTAAAATCCTTCTCTAATTTGGTAGGAAGGAAAAGATTTGGTCCATATTTGGTCTGAAGCATTATTGGTCAAAGGGGAACCAATTTTGTATAAATGGTGGGTCTGGCCCCTGAGGGGCAGGGCCCAATAGGGGAAATATAACTTATTCTTCCAAATCCTTCTTCTTTTGTAGGAAAAAAAGGATTTGTTCCATATTTGGCCGGAAGCATCCTTGGGTGAAAGGGAACCAATTTTGTATAAACCGTGGGGCCTGAGGGGCGGGGCCCAATAGGGGAAACATAGCAAATTATTCTTTAAAATCCACCTCTTTTGGTTGGAATGAAAGGATTTTATCCATATTTGGTCTGAAGCACCCTTGGGTGAAGGGCAACCAATTCTGTATAAACCGTAGGTCTGGCCTCCAAGGGGCCTGAGGAATGGGGCCCAATAGGGGAAACATAGCAAATTATTCTTTAAAATCCTTCTTCTTCTGTAGGAATGAAAGGATTTTGTCCATATTTGTTGTGAAGCACCAATAGGTCAAGGGGAACCAATTTTGTATAAACCGTGGGGCCTGAGGGGCGGGGGCCAATAGGGGAAACATAGCAAATTATTCTTTAAAATCCTTCTTCTTCTGTAGGAATGAAAGGATTTTGTCCATATTTGTTGTGAAGCACCATTAGGTCAAGGGGAACCAATTTTGTATAAACGGTGTATCTGACCCCGTTGGAGGCAGAGAGGCGGGACCCAATAGGGGAAATAGAGGAAAAACCTTTAAAATCCTTCTTCTACCATAGGGATTAAGGGATTTAATCCACATTTAGTATGGAGCATCCTAATTGGCCAAGGGGACTCAATTTTGTATAATGGGTGGGTATGACCCCCCAAGGGGCATAGGGGTGGGGCTCTGTTTGAAGTTTGTTCTCACTATATCTCAAGTACTGGATGGATCTTTCTGAAATTTCATATGTACTTACAGCACCTACCATGGAGTGCTATATCTTTACTTCATACCAATTATTTTAAACATATTCAGGTGAGCGATACAGGCCCTCTGGGCCTCTTGTTCGTGTATATACTGGCGATTAGAACATGAAATTTGGTTTAAACTCTCGTCCTACCGGTCTCGAGTTCAAACCCAAATTTTATGTTCTAATCGCCAGTATAGCCACTCAAAACAACGTACTATCCCCTAAATGGTTATTAACCCATGAAAAGTGTCATTACATCACAAATGTGATCAAATTTCAGTACAAAGATCATGTATAAAATATATCAATAATGTTGACTACTTCGTTTCATAGTTTACATCTACATCATTACCCATGTAAGTCAAAGTCTGGTGAATTCAAGTCAAAGCTTTCTTAATTACACCCTGTAATATGATTGAACACCATAAGAGAGACAACTTTGACCTGCTTGGAGGAAACAATGGTTATTTTGATAATACTGTCAACTTTATAATAATAATAATAATACGAGGTTCTTATATACTGCCTTATCACAACCTAGTTCATAGGTCGTCTCAAAGCGGTTCACAAATTATTATCTGTGGTTATAGGGCCTTTGCAACCAGCCAATAACTTTCTCAACTCCTGGGGAGCATACAGTCAGTGCTGCCATTTCGACGCTCACAGCTAGCATTCAACAATTCTAGCACTGCCCAACCATGCACTCATTTGCAGCTGAGTAGACTGGAACAAGCGGAATAAAATATCTTGCTCAAAATTACAACAAAGTGCCATGCTTACTGACTCGAACCCACAACCCTTCAGTCACGAGCCCGGCGTCCTTCCACTAGACTACCGTGCCTTCTAACTTTAAACGAAGTTAAACAAATAAATTATATAAAGATAATGAAAAAGTTTTCTAATTTTGATTTAGTAATATTATACTGTGAAAAAATCAGTTATTGTTTTATAAGCAGATTTAGATTTATACAAAATTTTGAGTGATGACTTTGTCTATTTTAAAAAGGTGTCAAAATAAGCTTGATTGAATTTCTACAGATATCACAAGGAAGACCAGGTACACGGGATCCATCAAATCATTCCCCTACCTTTTAATGACAGAAAACTGCTTTGTTTTAAAATGCAAGCAAATTGGTTAAGATTTTTATCCTCAATGTCAGATTTATAACAAGAGTTATCTCCCGTTGTCCAGTAACCTTCACACTTGTAATTTTATCCAAGGTATTCAAGTTTACTTCACTGGAGTAGCTACTAAAGGTCAATTAACAACTGAAAGATTTCATGAAAATATCCTTGGAAGACAACAACAACACACCCACCAAACCCCTTATCCAGCCACACACACCTCCCTTTAGACCGGCCACGTCCAGCAACACCCCATCTTCCTATCCTGGGTACCCCCCCCACTCCCAACTCTGGCCACACGCTCCACCCCTTCGTTCGGCCACATCCCAACCCCCTAGTCCAGCAACACCCCATCCCCCTATCCTGGGTACACCCCCCACTCCCAACTCTGGCCACACACCCCACCCCTTAGTTCGGCCACATCCCTGAACCCCCTAGTCCAGCAACACCCCATCCCCTATCCTGGGTACACCCCCCACCACCAACTCTGGCCACACACCCCACCCTTTAGTCTGGCCACATCCCAACCCCCTAGTCCAGCAACACCCCATCCCCCTATCCTGGGTACACCCCCAACCCCCAACTCTGGCCACACACCCCACCCCTTTCATGTGTATCTGCAGATTGAAGCACAAATTTTAACGCTCTGGAGTTGGAAAAATGGTTGTCAATCACACTGCGATTCAAGCCTGGCACTTCCAAACTCTAGATTAATGGTCTAATCTACTGATCGTTCTGATCCATGACCACCAACCCATTCCAGTACCGTCCTACATATACAGGTAGAAATGTTGAAGTCTTAAATGAAACCAAATATGTTGTATTAAAAATCAGATAGAAGGGAAAGAGTTCGCAATTTTTTTTGTCAACCAATAACAATTGACAATGACATTCTACAATGAGGATTTTTAGGTCACCTGAGCTTTGCTCAAGTGACCTATTCCAATCGCTTTTCGTCCGTCGTCGTCCGTCGTCCGTCGTGCGTCGTGCGTAAACTTTTACATTTTCAACTTCTTCTCAAGAACCAGTGGATGGATTTTTTTCAAACTTGGTCAGAATCATCCTTGGTAGATGAGGCTTCAAAATTGT